AGCCCGGCCTGGCTGCACGCCCCGAGGCTACGCTTGCACAACGGCACCCGGGGACCGGCAACATCGTCCCGCAGACCTGGAGGACCTACCGAAGCAAACGCAGTTGGGACTAGTGTGTAACACAATGATAAAGCATCCGAGCTTCCTGGATTTCTCGGGGAACCGATGAGGCCGAGCTTTCCTTAGTTCAGCTTAAATCCGTGTTGGTGAAATTGAGCAAAAGAGGTGTGAGAGAAGCCCCGTGGCTGCATTAAAACCATTGTCCTTCCAGCTCACAGCTCCCCCATCAGCAGGGAATAAATCGGGCTGCAGCGGTGACCGGGCTCGGAATACAAAACCGTGGGACGCACAGCTCTGCTGGGGAAAACAAGAGGTAAATCCGGGTGGCTTAATCCTGGGCATCGGTACCCGTGCTGTTATAAAGACTGGGGGAGCTGTACAAGAGATGTTCACCTGAAAATAAAGGAGGGTTTCTTTACACACGAGGTTTCTGAAGTGACCGATCGTGGGTTGTGCTGGTCACACGATGTGTAAGGTTTCTCAGAAGGAGCTACCAGGGCACTACTGCTACGTAGCAGCAATGAAAAGCAAAAACGAATGCATCCACTGACGCAAAGGCTGCCAGGTCACAGCCAGATGCTACTTCTTGCCCTCATACTTTATCTCACCTTGGCTCCTTACATTAGAACGCCTGGGAAAGGCATCAGGTCCACAGAGCATCTTCCCTGAAGCCATGATCCATTGAGATGGTTCACCTGAAGCTCCCGACGCAGCTCTCCGACCTCCAGAGGACAAGATGTGGGACCTGAGCATTCAACTTCTCAAAGGAGTAGAAGTCCCAGAGAATTTTTTTTTTTTTTTTTTTAAGTGTACAATACCAATTCACCAGCTTTTAGCTATTCTTGTATCGGTCCACAAAGGGATGTCCACAAGGAAAAACAATGGCCTATTCAGAGGCTGTTTGTTTGAGGGCAAGCATTTAATGCTCGAGAGAAACAATATCCATCGGGCTCTCAAAGGGGCCCTCGGCCAGCCGCGCCGTTGCCTGGGCAAGACCAACTCAGGCTTTTAAATGCTTTGTTAGTCTGGGCTGGGGATTGAATTGACTCTGCTCTGCCTGCCCAGCAAAGACTGGGGCGAGCAAAGGCAGGGTGCCCGGGAGAGCCAGAGGGCTGCGTGGGTCACATAGGAAAGAGCATCTGAAATCTGGGCGTGCTTGCCTGCAGCGTCCAGGAGCACCCATGCATTGAGATCAGTATCAGCTTTTATTTAAATTCTGCTCCGTATCATTTTAATGGAAGATGAAGGAATCTTTAGTTTATGGGATAACCAAGGAACAGGCAAACAACAAGCAATCCCCCACTCCCCCAGCCAAACCCCACCTCTGCACAAGTTTTCATTTTTGGGGGGATAAAAATCACTTCCACTTAAACGACCAGCACAAAGCGTTAAGAAAAAGGCGAGTTTTCTGGACACCCCATTACAGGGCCCAAGTAAGAGAAAGCGTTGCGGGGGCTCCATGCTGTGCTTTTTGCCCACGGATAAACGTCAGTCACGCTTTTGCCTGCTCTCGGTACGAGGCTTTCGCTCCAAATCACACGCAGGGTGACCGCATCGCTCAACGCTCACTGCGCCAGGAGGGGACGCGCTTTCTGCCTAGGCCAAACCTGGTGCTTTAAGACAAGGTAGAGAGACCATTCAATCAACTTCCCCCAAAACATGGTTCTGACCAAAACCATCATTGCACCGGCCAAGCGGGACAAGACCCGTTGATCCCGGGTGCTTTGAGCACTGACGTGGCCCCAGCCGACATCGCTGGGTGGATGTCAGAGCCCGCTTCTAGCTGTAATCACCTCAGGTCTCATTTTCTGACCCTGCACCAGTAAGGACCACCTGCATTCCACGCTGGGCCAACTCGGCTCTAGTGGGGTCCTCCGCCTTTGAAGAGAGGCAACATTACTTTTGGTTGGATAAAGGGAACATATCCAGAGCATCTGGCTGGAGCCCTGGGGTTGCCAGGGTGGGAGGAGCTGGTGACATGGAGCAGGAGTGAGCGGTAATTGCGATTACTTGCCGTGGTTCTACCCCTCATGACCAGTAACGTAAGGACGCTGTGCTCCTGCAGGCGTAACGACGCAAGGCATGGGGCATCCCCGCTGCCATCACCTGGGTGAGGACGGTATTCATCTAACGGTATTTCACACATACATACACATTAATGATACGCCACTTAATGGTGTATACTGGTACAGTGGTGCTGAGAACACAGACCCAAGTCAGGTAAGATGTTGGGGCTTGAGCAGAGCTCGTTACTGCGTCACGTGCTCTTGGCTTGGCCAGGCAACTTTCAACTTCATAGGAAAAGGCTACGTTCAGATACGTTTTAAAACAAATTTTGATTTTGCTTTGTTTTGTTTCGCAGTAGAAGCTTGGAAGTCTTGAGATGCAGCACCAGAGCGTCACCTCTCATTGCAGAAGCAAGACTCGCCCCGTGCCAAGAGCAACCGAAGCCTTGGGAACAGTTTTAGATTCACCATAGTGGGAGGACGTGGAGCTTGCCAGGTCCGATTCCCATGCAAAAGCTCTTCCAATAAATAATTAGCATCTCCCCCATACATCCCTTACCCTGCTCAGAGCGAGACTGGGTGCCAGCCTGGCTATCTGGCCTCCTGCCTTCCTCCCCTGGTGCCACCGCCGCCGCTGGCAGGGATGCGCTCGCTCTAGCAGCGCTACAGGAATTTTAATGGGGGGAAATATCTAGTGAAAACAAAGCCAGAGATTATTAAGAGGACAATCCTTCTGGTTGGGAAATCTTCTCTCATGGTTATTTTTAATGTTTCCTGCTCTGCTAAAAATTAGCACAGGGGTCGGAAGGAACCCTGCAGTCAAATTTTAACAGATTCAAAGGGCTGCCTTCAATCTCTGTCTCTGTGGTTTTGAAAAAATGGTAAAAACTTACATTTGAAAAGGAGGAAAGTGTCAGAACAAAAGAGCACGACAATATTTTAGTATCCCTGCGAAGGGCCCTGGTTCGTTAGGCGGCGTGGTTTGCAGCACCGCCCGGGAGCGGGGACCTTCCCTTCCTATAGGCTACGCTGTAAATCTGTGCAAGCCGGGCAGTGTCCGCTGGCGCTGCGGTTTCTCAGCGCGTTTTTGCATGAGAAGAAAGCTCTGGCAAGAGCCATGGCCAAGCCCCCCTGCCAGGCCCGTCACAAGTCCCCCGCTGCGAGCGAACCCAGGGCAGGATGCGCGCGGGGATGTCACCTTGTCCCCGTTACTGCCACCACCTCCTCCTCCTCCTCCTCCTCCCCTAACGCCCTCAGGGCAGAAGGACCAGAAGCCCTTACGGAAAAGCAAATTTCTGCTACGCCCAGTACCACCTCTGCTGCAGTAACCGCTCGCCCCTCCAAATAACAGCACCTAAATACCCGCAGAGCCAGACTCTACCCACGAAATCGGTCACCCGAGGGCTTGCCCCGCGCATGCCGCCTGCCGCAGTCCTGAGCCTGGATGAGTCCTTGGCTGCGGGTTCCTTCTGCTTCTGCCCTGACCGCCGGGGTCCCCGGTGCGAGGCCTCGAAGTCGCCTCAGCCGGCAGCACAACACAGGGGCGCAAGCGTTCCTCTACCAGGTGCTGCCATATTTAAGCATTAAAATCATTAAATCATGATAGCTTCATACTTCGCTATAAAGGGCGTGGATGGTCTCACTGGAG